CCCCCCCCCAATGTATACCAAATGATTAGGAGAAACTTATTTATGCCTATTGATAATTATAAAGAATTATACTTTTTCCTAAAAATTGGGATGCATTATTATTATTATTTTACAGGTATCTATTGTGCTCTTCTAGTTATTAGTAAGTATAGTCACTGTGATTTAGTGGCCTATTCTAATTTGGATTAAAATAATTCTAAAATTAACTCAGAATTAAATTCTTTTAATAATCTAAATTAACATAGTATAAGAATATTAAAAATATATTGATACGTATCAACCATAACCATTTATATGGAACAGAAGACGATGATATACTATCGTTTTATATCGATTGAATAGTTTATAATATTATAGTTACATAAAACAATAATGTTATTGTTATTACCTTCAGATATGAGCTTTTCACGAATTTCCCAGGCGAATATCGTTGGATTTTCTCGTTTGTAGAATTCAATTTTCGATACGACTGCTGGGGTGGCCACCTTGGGTTTGCTTCCACCAATCAGTCCAGGAGGTCTAAGGGTTCCTGCAGATAATCAACAACGAAAGATCAAAAAACGAACACTATATAATTTAATATTATGGTTAGACATTTAAAACATTGTCAATAATTATTACTACAATAATGAATAAATATACAATTTTAAGCCAGTCCTATTCGTAATCAAGCGCGTTTATACATGGTTCAATGTGGAAAGGCAAAAAAATAACACATGATAATTATACTTTTTGAGGATTTTTCTAAAGTACGCTGCAATTACCTATGTTTATTATAGTTATGTAATCAATATAGCATAGCCGAGAGGGATGTAGTGGTTTAAATCAGAGGAGAACCAAAAAATTCATTGAACGTTATTGTAACATGACGTAACACACTTATTCCCTTCTACTTATAAACATCTCCAAGTACCGACTACACATCCCGTAACTACTGCGATCAGTGAAAGGTCATTATCTGCACTAAAAAGTTTAAGACATACCTAAGAAAGTAAAACATTCACGGAGAAGATAGATCGAATAGTTTATAGCATTGCAAAATATTCATCATGAAATAATTTTAACAACGGATGAAGTTCTTAATAAATTTACTCAAGACTCCAGAAGAATAAGATTGATATAATTTTGAATTTAGATGCAAATAGGCATATAAATATATACTTATGAGTTATGACTATTAAAAAATACATTACACCCAGATTAAGATTTTAAAAAAAAGATGTAATATGTTTACCTATACTGTTGGGAGCACCTACTGCTGTGTATATAATAATTAGAAATAATTAGCATTTGCAAATATCATTATCCGACTAATCAAATAATATTTATTATTCAGTTAGGGAAAAATAACCGGTACCTACGTGCTTGGTAAAATTAGTGATAAAGTGCATGGTTCAGAGTGCTCATAATATTTCGCGTCGTGTCTTTATATCAGATTTGTTAAATCCCCCTCCCCTTTGACTAATTACTGGCTACGCTGCTGTGTGTGATTTATGTATACCAGCTGTACTATATATCTAGTATAAATGATAAGCATAACTATATGTTACGTTGTAATTGTAACACAATTAATTAAAATATATATTTTTTTAAATGGTATATTATATTATAATATTATAACAATATGTCTTAAATAATACATATTATACCATTACTAGTATTATCCTTCAACAATCGTGTACGTATACATATAAATATATAGGTAGGTACTTATACATATTATAAGATAATATATTATATTATTTTATGATTTATATACATAATATTATAATAAAACAACAGTACAAAACGCAAATCGTGATCGTTGCACACGAACACATGTTAAGCTCCGAACAAAAATGTCAGCTTCTCCGGTGGCTACATAGACGGCTACCGTTTGCAGAGAAATTCGATAACGCTGAAGTGGAATCGCGCGCTCTCTGAAATCACTGCGACGCAGAAAACCATCAATGCGCTTCAGAGTGTAAAAAAATGAGCGCGTGTAACACATAAACACACACACACACACACACACACACACACACACACACACACACACACACACACACACACGCACACATATAATATATTAATATATTGTAAATGAAAACCGACACCGAGATATTTTTCGAAATCATAATGCTATTCAGGACTTTCATTCCGAAGAAAAAAAAATCGAACGGTTAATAAGTTTTTGTTTCTCATTACCTATATTATAATACCTATATTATTATATGATATTATATTATTTAATGAACAGTTTAAATTTAACAGACCGTTTGACGTGATATTGTGTACCTACGTCAATGGTTCGCATTCACATAAAATATTATACACACGAAGCCATACGGAATCATGAAAAAGTGCGTCGATATTACACACCACGTGCGACTGTACTATTGTAATGAACGTATAATAGTTCAAAATCGGTACTCGTATGATAAGTAGGTATAATCTGCAAAGAAGGACGTTAATTAGTCAAAAAGTTTTGGTTAAGAAGAAAAGTTTTTTTTTTTTTAAATAGCAATAACGTCATTAGTTAGTATTAAATATTGATTGTCTTCAAATAAACTTAAGAATTTAACTATAGTTTAAGCAACTTGGTTTTTTTCACTTGGTTTCAAAATCATCCATCAAGTCAATAAACAATTTTTTTGTTTGAATGGTTTTATACATTCATTAGGTAGGTACCTATACTGTTGTCTGTATGCATGATTTTATTTAAAAATAATCGAATACCGCTGTTGTATCGTAACAAAAAAAGATACCTGCACCTAGTTAACTAATAAGTTGATTAGTATTTTTTAATTGTGACAAGTTAATCATTTTTGATACTAACTTTAAACGAAGCGAGTTAAATTCGTTATTTGTTAGACATTAACTTGTAACTCAACGATTTTGTGATCAATTAGCTTAGGGTTTAATTGTTTTCTTTAACTCACCCGAAAAGTATAAAATTATATTTTTACTCAATAATATTTACTATATTATATATACTATGGGTACTGGATGTACCTATTAATACGCGTTTTATGAAAATCATTCATAAAACCGATCCACAGTGTTTTGGTTTGTTACTTTAAGTTAAACTTAACGTGATCATTGTTTCATTTCATTTTTTTAATTTTAAACGCTGATACGGAGACGATTTCCAATTTCAATGGTTTTAATTTAGGTAGGCACGGTCGACAAGGTGGGCATACAATTATATATTTATTAAATTCCATTGCAATGTTATACGTGGATCATAATTATTTATTTATTTTCATCAGTAGTTAAGTGAAAATTATGTATTAGTAATAAATGTTTTACCAACCTCGTTTCACCAGTGACAAAATATACAAATAGGTACAACCGGTAAATTCAATTTTGTTCGTATTAAAGGACCGGTGAAAGTTTCATCTTTTTCTAAATATCTTAAACTTTATACGCCACTGCAGATAAAATACGCGCATATGCACGACACGTGTGGATACCAAATTTTAAAATAATTTTTATTTCAAATACTACGTTATAACTATCTGACCACTAGTAGAGGTCAGATGGAACGATTTCCTTTGCACAAACAATGACGGAGACGACGTCGATGGTGAGTGTTAGATGGCATGTACAGCCAAATGATATGTAATGTTTAATGTTTATGGTGCACACACGCCGCATTATCGCCAAGCGCGCTTAACATAATATAATATATTAGCTCTAAATTAAAGTGAATTTAACAAATATACACAACTTATTGAAAAATCAATATAAAAACATTATTTTTGTTTATAAATCATGTTGGGGTTTACCAAGATATCAATATTTTTAAGTGAACTAGGTAGGTGTGTGTATTTTTAAGTACCATCTGTAATAGCGTTCGGGTACTCACAACACCCTTAAAAACGTACATACCTCAAAAATCCGATACTATTCAAACACGGACAACTGTCTTAAAGTTTGGTAATTATTGATCAGCGATTTCAGTAAATTCTAATATTGAAGTTAAAAACGCAAAATTGGTTCCATTGCGCAAAAATGTGCCATTTCGTATCAATACGTTTTTATATTATAAGACAACACGTATGCTGTACTGCTGTTCGTCGTCTCTCTTACGTTACGATGAAAAAAAAAAAAAAGCAACGATATCATATCGTTTTGTTCCCCTCGTAACACTATCGTTGTTATCCGATTTTGGGCATCCCGTGAAATAGGGAAAACCCTAGTTTTTTCAACCTAGTATAGTATTTAAACCCTAGTATTTTAACCCACGGGCGTGCGATGTGTTTTGCAAATTTTTCGAAAATAATAACACGTCACTAAGGACCCCCCCCCCTTCTTCCATTCAAGTGTGCAAATCTCGTTTATTGAGTCGTACGCTGGACGATACTCGATACTATTTCTCGAGGATGAATTCGTATAGTACACGAACCCGAGTGTTTGGGCCGCAAGTGTATTATATTATTATGCATCCGCAGAGCCGGCGGCAGCGGCGATGCTGCAGCAGCAGCATAATAATATAATATAATACCAGGTAATAGGAACATTATAATATTATATAATATATACACATATTGTAGATATAGATACCGATTTTTCGCGATATATAAATATATACATATAGATACCTGCGGCCGCGACGGCGCCTTGCAGCACGGGTGAGTGAAATCACGCTGAAAAAAAATCTACGGTCGACGGCGGGGAGGGTGCGATTTTCGACGTGGGAGCGGACGGCTTCGCGTGCATAATATTGAATATAATATTATTGCGATATTATATTAATATTATGTTATTATTATTATTATTATTATTATTATTATTAAAACTCGACGGCGCCGTAATAATAATATCGCATGTACCTATACCTACGACGCGTCGGCCGTCCGCGCGTAATGTTCCTCCTCCGGTCGGCGATGTGGTGTCCCTTCGGGCGTCCAATTACGCGTGTATATACCTAAGTATAATATTATTTATATTGTGCTAAACAGTATAATATGGTACGATAACTACGACATATATACCGTGTCTACGTGTATACGTACAATATTCTGTGCCCTCGCCCCCGTCGTCGTACGCCTTGCGTAATGCGACGTTACGATGTACACACCGCCAAGTCGATTATAATATTACCATTATCATTTGGCGATGATGCGATTTGCGGGGGTGCGCGGTCGTGCGTTATGGACTATAGGCAGGTAGGTGTACATATATATATGTGTGTATAAATATTATATTGTGTTGTATTATATTATTTAGTAGAGGATACCCGTAAACGACACTGCTGCGAGGGATCGCAGTCTTGTGACATCGGCGCGGTGGGTTGGTGGACGTATACGAATGTAATAACGATGTGTATTTTATGCAGGAACCTACTTTTGTACCCATATTTAATATTGCGATTGGCATTCCGGGTAATAAATAAATGATTTAAAAAAAAAAAAAACACTTATAGAACTAGAATAAATGCAAAAGAGGTGTTGTGTTTTAGATTGCATTTACAAAAAAAAAAAAAAAATCAATTACAATATTATAATAGTTTCAAATTAAAATCTTGTCTGAATCAATTCTGTT